GATGAGTTATTATATGTATGAATTCTCAGACAACATTGCTCTCACTCTCTTCAGTAATTATTTTATTATCATGACTGAATGACACTGCAATGGCTTATCTATTTTATTACAAAGTTGGATTGAAATCACGGTAGATATTATTCCATTCCTTAAAGAATTCGAATTTCTGGAATAAAAAAAGAACTCAGTTAATATGTAAAATTTGATGGTGATTACTGCCATTTATTAGGTTGCTGATGAAGATATCAAAAGACAATAAATAATTTTTTTTCCGATTTCTCTCAAATTGATTATGTTATAATAACCAAGAGTTGAGAGCATGAAACGCTTGAAAATCTCATTTTGCTGACAAGAATTAAATTTTTTAATAGTAGATAGTTTAAAATTAACTAAAATTAGTGTAAGACTTTGTTACTTTTTTTGTTTTATTTTTTAAATTTGTAGCATATTTTTTTTTATAAATTATTGTATACATACTTTATTTTTTAAGACACCCGTGTAATACACGAACATTGTACTAGTTTTTAATAAAAAAAATGTTAGAATATCACTTGTGAGTTGTCCCAATCGTTCATACATGAAAAATAAACCCGCCTTATAAGTGTAAGGCTGCAATTAGGCCACGTAATAGTTAGAAAACTATATTTTTTTTAACATATTTTTAACTTGAAATATCCAAATTAAAAAACAAAATAAATAAAAGTAAAATATTTTATAATATAAATATTTATTTTAATTTAAGAAAAAACAGTATAAAGAATCATACGATTAGACCAATTAATACAAAAATTGAGGGATATACTTTTTTCTAGATATATCGGCTCAACTTGTATATATCACAAATTAGAATAAATATTACAGTTTTTTATACTGTTGAAGTGAGTCGAAAAAATATGGTATATGATGAATTGGTTATTAATTATTATCTACATGTCCTTATCCAATTCAACAATAAATATGATTTTGATTATTTAATTTTAGCTTCACGATAACTACTCCAATAACGAAAGTGGAATTCCAGCTATATTTAGACGAGGTGATCATATGATTCCTGCTATATATATATATGCAACTGCTTTTGGTTTTTCCTCTTGTTTTTACTGCTCATATGCATGTAGCCATTCGCTGCCTAATAAACATTCTTTTCGCTTTTCCCTTTTCTTTTATTTTTTATACTAGTGTATATCCCGTGCGATGCACGAGACACATATATTAATTGAGTCATTTCTATAGGACTTGTACATTTTGACAAAAAATAATAGGGTTGCATCATCAGTTTTCCACTTCTTTCAATCAGTGATATTTATTTTAGTCATAACGTTGATATATTAATTAATATATCATTCTGCTTACACGTTATACTAATATAAATTTAATTTTACAATATATATTTATTCATTGATATAAAAAAAATATTCTTATTCTTGTTCACCATTTAATACTCAATTAATATTTTATTATAATATTTGTTGTCATATAATGTCATTATTATTATTTATAAAGGTTATAATAGTTGTCTACTTCTTCTTAGTTTATGTAATGAAGTTTAAAATAAAATTTTGTGTATAAATTTTTATAAAATACACACACATGTTTTTTAAAATTTCTCATAATAATTAAAAAAATTTGATTTAGCAAATTGTCAAATAATAAACCCTTATATAATCAAGAGATTTTTCTAATTTGCATTCTAAGGTTTTATTAGTTTATTTAACATACTATGCAATATAAATATATATTTTACAATAAATTTATTATGGAAACAAATAAAAATAAAAAATAATAAAATTATCGTGGTTGACAATAATATACAAATAAATCAAATATTGAAACTGTAAAGAATAGTTAATATATTTTAATTTTATTATTTAGCCGTTAATAAATTATTTAATGATGTGATCATTATCTCTTAAATGGTAAATTATTTTAGTTTAAAGAAATTATTTGTTTATATAATTAAATAAAGGTTAAAAAATATTATTGAAAATTATTATTCACCAACTGGATTTCGGCTAATTAGTTAGAGGGAGAATTATTTAACATGTTACGATTGTTTATAAATATTTTAGGATGAAAGTCAACATTTTTGAAAAAAAAATTAATATTATGGTTAAGACTTAAAATTTGTTTTCATGGTTATGTTGACAAAAATATTATCAACACCAATTATGAAAAATCTAATTATAGTTTATTATAATGAATATCAATAAAATTATTGCATATGATAATAAAATTATTCAAGGAAAGAATCTTTTTGATCATATATGATTTGGAAATGTGTATATATTAAAGCAATTAATGCATATATTTAAAAGTTTCCCAATAAAGTATGCATTAAATGTTCATTGACTTTTTTGCTACTATATTTAGTAAATAGTAATTCTTTTTATATATATATATAGATATAGATACTAGATGCTGAGTAAGGAAAAATCCCGAGTCGAAACAAAAAATACAAATACACGTAAACGCATGCCTACAAGTTTGAAATTACAAGTAAAAGATCTTCTCTTAAACCTACTACAACTACATCCGATCATACTAACTACTTTCCTAGCCATAGTGCGGACTAAATAACTACTACTAGACTCTCTCCAAGCTGATAATATCCAAAGTACATAGTAAGACTTATGTTTTAGTCTTTAAGAGATGCATGCAAGCAAAATTAAATTTCTGAATTCACAAATTATAAAATATGCAGAGAGTTCGAATCTACTGATTATTGCAGTACAGTCATGAGGTTTTTTTACTGTTAAATCAATAAATACATACATATACTCATAGAGGTGTATTAATATGACGGTAAAAACATATACATATAGAAATGTGTTGATCTGATTGTAAAAAACCTAATGAGTAGTGAACTCTTCTATAGTATAAAGTTAAATGTAATATAGTGGGATAATAATTTGTGGTACTTCTAATAGTACGAGCGTGCTCATGGTGTGTATCACATTGCTAGGCTACAATAGGAAAGCCGAAAGTTGGTAGTCCAAAAGCTTAAAGAATGTGTGAAGGGATGAGAAAGAAGGTGACAAAAGGCAAAAATTGGGTTCACGGGTCTCTTCTAATGGATCAACCACTAACCAACGTCCAATCTTTTCACATGCCAAACATTTCTGTTTCAAATAATTCGTTTTGGCATTCTAAATTCTTTTGTACCTTTAGTTTTGTTCTAAAAAGCATTTCTTTTTTCTTTTTAGTTTTTATTACTCCATATATTAATGTTATGATTATTTTATTTTGTCACATAATTGGTATCAGACGTGGAAGATTCGATCCCGCCGATTATTTCAGTGCAGTCATTAAATTTTTCATTGTTGGATATCAATACTATCCAGATGTGTATGTGTTGATTGAACAGTGAAAATTTGGTACTAGTAGTAGGGGCGGACGCAAGCCTCACAAACTCGAGGGACACAATTTAAAAACTTAAAAATAAGTTTGTATATCTTTTAATTTAATTTTTCAATTTTATTTTAATGTTATTTTGAAGAATGGGATAGAAAGTGATGTTACGAAAACTTTAAATATTTTAATTTACCATTGGTCTTGTGTTTGACACTAACCATAAGGTCTATATGGTTTTAACAAATACACATACTTTCATTAGAATATGTTATAATTATGTAATTTTGTTTAAAAAATATGAAAAGTCCGTCTAACATTTTACAATGTTTCAACAAGAATTTGTTTTACATATAAACACAACAACATATTGATTAGTAACAATTGATTTTCAACCATAATATATTTAAATTATAGTATTGAATTTTTAAATTATATTCTTATTATAATAAAAATTACGTTATTTATTAATACATCGCACACATTTATAAATATTCAAAAGTGTAGTTATATGTATGAATGGGTTCAAATGAGAAAAGGTATTCAATGAAAAAAAAAAGAATAAACCGTAGTCATTAGATCAGATGATATAATGGCTAAAAAAACAAAAATTATACCTTCATTAAGAATAATATTGTAATTTTTTCACACTCAAACAGTGGGAGTCACGCAACCACAATACTCACATGTGTGGCCCACCTGACACATCACCTCTCTCCGAAGCCAATCCTTAAAATTATTAGCCCCTGAGCCAAATATGTTAAAGGATGCCATTTAATATTGATAAAGAATGGTTTTGTTATGGAATCATCGGGTTACACTACTACAATTTTTATAAATAGTATTAGTTCATTAAGTTATGGATGACTCAATAAAAGAGTCATCCGCTGGTCATAGAGTTTTTTCAAGGACAACCAAAAGTTTAGATTATCTTTATCTCAACCATATAGCTTAATCGAATTGAAATCCTTACTATTTGATTCTAAATTTTTATGTGATTGAATTTTTACTACAAAAAACACTAAAACTTTTTTAAAAAATATATCCAAAACAATCGGCTAATTAGAACCCACATTCAAAATGACAAAAGTCTCATTACTCCCTTTAACGGCTATTATTATACTGTATGCACACAAAGTAGCAATATTATGTACTTCTTGAACCACTGGGCCTGTTCCGGGCCATGTATATGTACTTCTTGAACCACTGGGCCGGTTCCGAACTGACGGTTTGGCCCTTTCTTTTTTTTCTTTTTATTATTATTTTTTGATTTTGTTTTTCTATTTTTATTTCCCGGGCTGGCCCGAAACCGCCGATTCATCATACCGGCCTGTGCATATGTTTGAACCGTTCATCTGAACCGATTTTGGCAGTGCAGGTATCTTTGTAAAAGGTTAATTAATTAAGTTCACCTACTAGTAACTATCATTGCAATCCAAAAACTGATCATTTAAATTAAGAATTATTTAGTTTTCTTTCAATGATTTTAAGTTAAATTGTTTGGAAAAGAAAGAAAGGAAATTACATTATTGGCCCGCCTGTCCCTACACGCGGAAAAGCAGACGCTCAGCAAGCGGTACGTAACAGCATCCAAATCCGCCATGCCCACCAAAACACAAACCTCCAAATACACACACACACACACACACACATTCATTTTNATTCTATAACTATGTCTGGACTTTATTGGTCCCAAATATATGTTAGCCTGTGTTTGCACATATTGTTTGTTTGTTTTCATAAGAGTGAAGCTGCAAATCCGAAAGTGATAATTGGGAACATATCAGAGGTGGAAGATGCAGCCTACCTTCGGATATATTATGGTCAGACCTTCAAAGTCATCAAGAATGGCTTTGATGGCAACAGTTATCTTCTTATTCAGGTAAATTTATATTTTCACAATTCTCAATCGTGTGTTTACGGAAATTTATAGTGAAGAGGTCTAATTGTTAGTCTAGCTAGTCAGGTCGAGTCATCGTATTTTATTAACAAAAATACATACTTGTGTTATGAAATTAATATATATCATCATTTTATTTTAATTATTTTTAAAGTATATCTTTTTTTGTTTGGAAGTATCTGTGTTTGCGTGATTGTATTTTTTTTTCTCATACTACATTCACTTCTGATCAATTCATTCCCTTGATTTTGGATTGAGATGTACATATTCTTCTCAACGCTTGGTCTTCAATTATGCTGTCTAACCATTAGAAAGCCATATTTTTCAATAAACATTTTATACTTTCATATTTAAATGTTTTACTTTAAAATACAATATAAACAAAATTATGATATTTCATAATATAAATGTATTTTTTTGTCAAATAATATAACTACCTAACAGTACTATTTGCTTTGATTAAAAAAATTTGATGTGTGCTTGAAGAGTTTGTTCAACTTTCTAGATATTTTTTAATCACGGAACTTTTATTTTTAATATTTTGTCTAAAAAATGTTAATCTATATATATATATATATATAAAGAGGAGCAACAAAGCATTTAATTTTATTATAATGCATTAAATTTTATTCTTCCTCCAAAATTTTTAGCATCCAATTTCATTTTTAAGTTACAAAATAACTTGCTTGAATGTCATAAATTATGAGCATATTTTTAATTTACAAAATAACTTGCTTGAATGCCATAAATTATGAGCATAAACTAATCAATGGAGTTACAAAACTGTACTCAAATTTTAAGTCACACCCACTCATGAAAATGGCCGGATGTATTAGCATAAAGAAAATAGTTGTAACGGCTCTTCCATAGCAATTATTTGATCAAAATCAATTTTGAGAATTATTTTCTTAATTCATATTTTATTTTCATAAATTAAATTATGATTTATTTTTTAATTTTTTTTCTATTTTTATCTTATTAAAGTATTCTTCTTTGTGCAAATGCACAGGTTGATTACTAGTGTATAATCAAAAGCAAACTTTTAATATTAAATCCATTTTTAGTATTCGTAGATTATTTTTCTTTTTTCTTACTTTGGAAGATCCTTCCAAAAAAGTTCAAAACAGCACTTCGAAAATTGGAGACAGACATTTATGAATTGGAGTATGTAGGGTCCTAATTAGTTGTTGGTTTATGCAATAGCAGTACTCACGTTCATGCCCAAGCTATATATCATGCTCAACGCTTATATCGTAGACAATAAATTTCCTAAAGACAAAAAAGTTGGACCAAAAACCAGATTTTGAGCATTATCTTCGATCATGTTTTCAAATTTCAAAGTTTATGGACCAGTTAATTTGGGAACATTTCTCTCTCTCTCTCTCTCTCTCTCTCTCTCTCTCTCTCAATTTCATCTTTGTGTAGGGTCAGAATACACAATCACATTACTATTCATGCAGCACAAATTCATATGTAAAACACTTTTATTATTAGATGGGTTGACATGTCAGACTATTTGAACAAAAATGTATACTTATATTATTAAATGTCAAATTTCTATTTATATAGTTTTTTAATGTATGACATTTCTTGATGAAAGTATATGTATTTGTATAAAAAAAATATATTAGTCTAATGATTAGACAGGACGACCTAACATAAAATCAACCAAAGAGCGGAGACGTATGCATTTAATCTGCATCATTGGTAAATGGATTTTCGCTTCCTAAAATCGTAAAACTGTAATGTTGCATGATGTAAACTAAATATATTTATTTGATTCGATAGGGTAATTGATGGGATTCAGAATTTCGACTATAAAGGTATATATATATATATGTCGTTCTAATGATAGTCAAATTGTGTTCAAGGTTTAGAGCATGTTTGTTTACAAAATAATTTATTCATGTTCAATCATGCTTAAAATTTAACTCAATTTTAACATAATTTCACTATCTTCAGTATTATCAATATAATTCAATAAAAACAAACTAGTGCGTGACCCATGCGATGCACGGAAAAACAATATTATGATTGTACTATAAATTAGATATATAAATAACATTAATCATGATTTATTCATTGTATTTAAATAAAACTGGGTTGGACACAGTCCGACCGGATGGACCAAGAACCGGTTTATAACCAGTCTAGTTCACTTGAATAAAATATTTGCTCTCGAATCCGTTAACACCAGTCAGTTGGATTGGTAGGATCGATATGATTTTCTAAATTAATTTTGTTATATTTAAAATTATTTTTAATAAATTTACATATTTAAATAAAATAGAGATTTATAAATTATTATCAATTAGTTTAAACATTTGAATTTATAAATAATTTAAATATATAAGTAACACATTTTATTGAAGTTTATTACAAAAAGTACTATATATATTAAAATGTTTATAAATTAAAAGCTGAACAAACCACAAATAATTTAATAAAATAGTTTGATCGTTTTGATGACGGTCATGTTCTGAAAACCTTATATCTATTGTACATTAATAAGTATTATAATAAAACATTATTTAACTCACATAAATATTAATAAAACAATATATAAATATTCATAACTCATTAAACATGTTGTCATAAAATTATTGTTAATACGATTATTTGAAGTTTGGACTATATCACATTCACGTCATAAAATATTTTCAATATAAAATTTATATTTAGGTTCAATAATCGATTTGGAGTATCACCTAAAAGTAATTCAATCAACCTGTGCAGTACCCTAATTCAATCACCCGATTAATCCGAAGAAATTTTCTTAATTTCTTTAAATATATTTAATTTTATGAAATAAAAATATTTTATGATTTATATAATAAATGTCTACACCAAATAATAGTATATTAAGATTATAAATTATATATCAAAAGATGAATTAATTATTTTTACTTTATGCGTATAAATAAAAAATAAGCGTAGCAATTTTCAAAAAATTAAGATTAATTGATTAATTATGCAATTTAAAAAATATTTTTAGCGTTCAATACTTTTTTTAAAGGCACAAATATAAAGATCGAGATTCTAAAACTTTTGTTATATTTTGAATTGAGATTTTATAAATATAGAGACCGAGATTTTAATGTTGTTCGTTGTTTCAAAGAAAAAAAAGAAAATATAAACATACACACTTAATAAATCTTAGCCGGATATTTTAAATAATAAAATAAACTAAAGGCCGAAATTTTAATGTATAATTTTTAAAAAAATAAAAAATAAGAAAAAATAATAAAACTTACTATTTATAGGCTACAATAAATTCTGACCTATTTTTTTACTACTATTTTTAGTAAATAGTAATTCTTATTATATATATATATATAAATTATTCTTACACATCACATCAACTTTTTCACTATTCATCAACTCATATAATTTGAACTAACTATTAATTCCCATCATTTCTCTTCTACTTTTACATCAATCAACTTTAATTATTTTATTTTAGACATTATTTTCATATAAAATCAAACTCTCACTAACAACTAATCATCTAACTTTTTTAAAATTAACTCTGGTTAATAAAAAAAACTCATTTTAAGCATATTCTTTGTTTTGAAACAAGCCTAACAAGATTTTAGGAGGGGGGAAAAGGGTTTAACAGTAAAACTGTTGCCTTTTTGTAATTTTCACATTTTCTGCTTACCTTTTTCTTCACTCTTTCCACCCTTCCATTTTTTTGTATTACCTCTGCCAAAGTTTCCTGCTTTTTCTCCTTTACCCCTTTCCCTTTTCCTCTTTCAGTCTCTCTCTCTCTCTCTCTCTC